CTCACAGCTGGTCTTTGACAGGCTGCAGCGACTCAGCCTGCAGGAGGGAAACACAGTCACTATCCTCAGCTGGTGCATTTCCATGTCTGCATCTAGAGGCTTTCATCCAGAAAGAGGCTCTAACATCCAGCTGTTACCCAGAAAGAGGCTCTGACATCCAGCTGTTACCCAGAAAGAGGCTCTAACATCCAGCTGTTACCCAGCTGTTATCCAGCTGTTACCCAGCTGTTACCCAGAAAGAGGCTCTAACATCCAGCTGTTATCCAGCTGTTATCCAGCTGTTACCCAGCTGTTACCCAGCTGTTAGCCAGCTGTTACCCAGAAAGAGGCTGTGACATCCAGCTTCAGAACTGCCCTGAAAACAGCACTGTAAGCAAATCCTGCTGTGGGCCCGCCTGAGCCGGCCCAGAACCCAGAACCCAGAACCCAGGGTGGTCTTGGTTCTGGGTTCTGGGTTCTGGGTTTTCCTCTCCAGGGTGTTCTGGTGTCACCAGGCAGACGGGAACTGACCTCAGAGTGTGCAGCCTGCAGCTGTGATCCTCCAGGAAGCCGCACAGCTTCTTCACTCCTGAGTCCCCCAGCTTGTTCTGGCTCAGGTCCAGGTTCTCCAGCCGGGCCGGGCCGGACCTCAGAACCGAGACCAGCAGAGAACAGCCGACGGCCGTCAGGGAGCACTCACTCAGCCTGAAACAGGAAAAACTGTTAGAGCGGTTCTCCAGGTCCAGAACAGCATTAGGCCCAAAGTAGCATCAGGTCAATCTGGACCAGCTCTCGTTAGCATCAGGTCCAGATGGACCGGCTATCGTTAGCATCAGGTCCATCTGGACCGGCTCTCGTTAGCATAAGGTCCATCTGGACCGGCTCTCGTTAGCATCAGGTCCATCTGGACCGGCTCTTGTTAGCATCAGGTCCCTCTGGACCGGCTCTCGTTAGCATCAGGTCCCTCTGGACCGGCTCTCGTTAGCATCAGGTCCAGATGGACCGGCTATCGTTAGCATCAGGTCCATCTGAACCGGCTCTCGTTAGCATAAGGTCCATCTGGACCGGCTCTCGTTAGCATCAGGTCCATCTGGACCGGCTCTTGTTAGCATCAGGTCCCTCTGGACCGGCTCTCGTTAGCATCAGGTCCAGATGGACCGGCGGTCGATCAGAACTGGGCGTCCACAGAGGTGAGCAGAGGCCCCTAACCCTAACCCACACCTTAACCCTAACCCTAACCCTGTGAGTGGAACTGACCCCAGAATGAGCAGAGGCCCCTAACCCTAACCCTAACCCTAACCCTGTGAGGGGAACTGACCCCAGAATGAGCAGAGCGCATCGGGGGCTCCGCAGGAAGCCGCACAGCTCCTTCAGTCCTGAGTCCTTCAGCGGGTTATCGCCCAGGTTCAGATCCTGCAAGTGGGAGGGGTTAGCCTCCAGAGCAGAGCCCAGAAGGGAGAAGCTGCTGCCTGACAAGCTGCACCCGCAGAGGCTGAAAACAGAACCAGCAGGAGGGTCAACCACCATCATCCATCATCCATCCATTATCCATCATCCATCCATCATCCATCCATCATCCATCATCCATCA